CCTCCCTCCCAGCTCCTCTTACCTGCTCCTGCTGCTGGTGCCTGTACACCTGGCCTCCTCCGCTGCCGGACTGTCTGGAAATGATGTGATGTCACTGTGATATACGCCCGGCCCAGACCCGCTGTACGTCAATCACCCGTGACAATACACAAGTCTGAACCAAGCACGGGCGTCACAAGGATGTGGCGATACCACTCTCAGCCTCACCCTGCACAGATATTTCCCAGCTTGCAGGACACAATCTCAGGTCAGCAGACTGAGAGCGATCGTCACCAGGGTTGGTTAACTCCGCAGTTAACCCTTTACCCACCAAACTTCCACTGCCACCATGTGTTTTTCAGAACACAAACCGTGCCCAGCAAATGCTGCGACAATTTAAAAAAACTTAAACAATGCCTGTGATACCCCTGTCCTCTCAGACAGGATTCACTATATAGTAGCGCTCTTCACAGAGGCAAGGATACTTTAAGTTTGCATTTAGAGTGTAGAGATAAGCTTAACGATTTTTTTAAATTGTCATTTTATAAAAGAAACGGTGCAGAAAATATACAGAAAATGATTTAATAAAAAGAGACAAGATATATATATACAACTGCAAAATAAAAGAGAATAAACAGAGAATACTCAACAGTCCTGGAATTAGGAGTTCTGACAGAGTGGTATAAGCAAAGGAGAAGTCTGCAGTGCTCTTCTGCAAGCAAACTTTCAGCTGATAATATCCAAAGATTAAAGGGGAACTCTTCTGCAATGTTAAGACTTCTCAGTTCCTTGATGTTTTCAAAACCAGAGCCCCCTCTAGTCGCCTCGACAGTATATTTTATAAGCCCCTTTTGGAGGGTGTCCCGGAGCCGGCCCTTAGGGCAGGGCTGGGGAGGGAAAGCAGGGAGGAGGATAAACCTTTATTTTTCACTATCCCCACCCAATTCCAAATTATGAAATGTAGCTGATTTTGTAAGGCCTTGTTCACACCAAATGCAGAGCAGATCTGCATGAGTTTCTGCACACGCAGTGCAGTGGGTTGTGCCGCGTTTTTGATGCGCTCCGGGACGTTTTTGGTTAAAAAAATAAAAAGGTCCAGAGCAGGTAAAATAGGGCCTGCTGCAGTTTTTTTAACCTGTTCTGGATCTGCTCTGGAACTGAACTCTGCGGTGTGAACTGGAGCTAAAAATACAATTGGAATACATTGGACGCAGTTTTGCTCCGGTCTGTAACTGCTCTGCTCCGCGCTTGGTGTGAACAAGGCCTAACTCAGGTTTTATGACTTTCGTGTGAATGCGGGGTCACCACATCTCCGGACCTGCTTGTTTATACTAACTTGTCCACTGGTAATAGATGCTTGGTGCCATGCCTTTAATTAGGGACAGCCATAAAAGGCTTAGAGAGATATTTTGGACTTTCACTAGGGCTAGGACGATAAAAGATCACAGCTAGATAGCAGATCTCTGTTCTGTGGAATGTGGAAGGCCTGGCAAATGATTAAATGAAGGCCTGTATTTGCTCTGAACTGGGGGGACAAGAGAATGCTATTTTTAATATTCAGACTCAGACCCCATTATCACACCTCCCAGAAGGAATCAGAAGGAATCACACATACCTATTTTATGGCCAATAACGTGCATATAAGCCTTCAAAATGGGGACATTTGATTTTCCGAGTTCTGGTCCCATAGACTTACATTGAGTTCTAAGTTTGAGTTAAAACTTTTTCCATGTTCGAAAGTTCGAGTTAGGATCGAACTCGGGTGTGTTCAGCCCATCACTACTCGTTATGACTTCCATAGATGGTCATGGTGGTGTGGTTGTGGTGTCCTTTTTTATTTGCTGTTTTTTGTCCTACTGAAGCCACCAGTGTACTTTCTCTCTAGTAAATTGCTTGTCTCAGCAGAAATTTAAAAAAATCTCCTCTAAGCAATTTAGCTGTTGGTTCCCAGAAGATTTGAATTAGGGGTCTAAACAGACCCCTGATATTTCCCTTTTCAAATAAAGAAAGAGATTGAGCACACAAAGTCCTCAATCTCTTTTTCTGCAGCCCCTGTTATCAATGAACAGGAATCGTCTATTAGTGTTCCTGTTCATGATTACATGAGAACATTGTGTGTTTACTATAACCACAATTGAATGAACAGGAGGTGATGTAGATCACTTCCCATTCATTCATAATTGAGGATATAGTAAACATACTCTGTCCTCAATTATCTACAAACACTCAGCGATCATTGATCACTGAGTGTTTGTACCCGCTCTCCTCTCTGACAATTCTGTCACTGGAGGCTGAGCGAGCGGAGAGGAGAGCTCAGGCTCCTGTGACAGTGCGGTGTGTCTCCACCCCGCTCTGCCGGACTGTGACATTAGGCTGAGCGGTGTGGGAGCAGAGACGCCGGCCACTGACATCGCTCTCCTCCCGCAGCGCTCGGCCGCCTATGACAGTTTCTCTCCTTCCTGCTGGGACACAGGGCAGCACCCAGCAGGGAGGAAAGAAAGCACGGATGCGCCAATGTATCGGCACAAAAATTGCACTTTCTGCATTTAGCCAAAAGTGCAATTTCTGGCCGATATGTTTCGGCGGCCGATATATCGGTGCATCCCTATTATCCAGACTACCTGCATTTTCCTTGGTATGTTACTTAATACAGTGCCATGCTTATTTTAAATAATGATACCCAGTACACATAACAATGGCAATAACTTTAAATAATGATACCCAGTACACATAACAATGGCAAAAACTGTTTTTGAAATGAATTCAAACTTTATTTTGTCATTCTTTTTAATGTCACAGTGGTGTTCACCCATTTAAACAATGTGCTGGTCCTCAAGTTGCCAAAAATATCCCAGTTATGTGCTTTTCCTATGATTTTATTAAAGTTGTGAGGACACCACAAACCAGCTAATAAAGGGAAAGTGTTTCTTACCAGTCTCCCCTTCCAACTCATGTATGCTCTCATTTACAGTGCTCCCCCACCCTACCCTCTCTTGTTCTGTTGGAGCCTCCTGAAATACCTGGTGCTTTTTGGAGAATGTGACTTCTTCCATTGATGTAATGCTTGGGTCTAGGTGGGCAATTTCCAGGCCCAAAAACATTATTTGAGGAGGAGGATGAGTTAATCAAGCCAGTCAAAGGTCTGAGGACATCCAATATGGAGCTTACTGGATTTGACTTCCAACTCTGAGAGGAAAAGGAAAGGTTGGTATACGTGGGTCACAAAATGTGGGCTTTCAACTCTGCACGGGCTAACTGACAGAGTCTCTTTAAATTCAGTCTTGACTGCAGAATATTCATCAATGTCACCAGTATTTGTACAGTACCTAAAACTAATTTTGTGAAGTGTCATGCACTGATAATATCAATAAACTCTACTACAAGCTGATTCTTTAACAAAATAAATTATTTTATTAAGGCAAAATAAGGTTATGGCAATTACTGCATAAACACAGTCTAACAATCCGGTTTGTCAACAAAACAATCTCAAGCCTATATGCATATCCAGAGCACACACACATGTCAATCATTAATTGACCTGTATGTTAAAATTATACATCAAATTTATTAAAATGATCCTGAGAACATTTTAATAAATCCCCAAAGGGTTTAAAGCACACTGGTAGAATATAGAACACAATGTAATTTATATACAGAAGCTCTAACTACATGTGCTAGGCTACGTGCTAATGTGAACAAATCAATGTATCTTGTAAAGCACATGGGAATATGCAAGTGCCATAGAAATAAAAATTTGAGTGCTTTTGTACTTTAACCCTTGCACTGCCAGAGCCTTTTTTTTAGCACACAAGTTAAAAAGTACATTTTAGGGCTGAAGATTACTTTAAACCCCAAAGACCCTGTAAACAAATGTTGGCATTTACAATTTTTATGTTAGATGATAATTCAGCTACTGTTTATCAAATGTATATTTTCAGTAAAAAATACAATTACATTTATTTAGTGCGCTTAAACATAATATAATATCTTTTGTAAAAAATAAAAGATAATGTTGCATCAAGAAAATAGCTTGGGGCATTGACAGCTGTGAACTCAGGAGTTCTTAGAGCTGAGCATTTCCAGGTTCATCCATTACAAGGGAGATCTCTCGCTGGTCTCAATCCTGACGATTGCCATGGTGGTGTTGGGCACCCAGGAGGTAAAGGTGAGCCTGGGACACATGGCGGGGAAAGGGGGCTTGGGTGGTTCCAATACTAGTGTATAGAAGTGATTGGATGGCTTTACATGTGAAAGCCAGCAGGCACGACAGCATTATGTAAACCAAGTGTTTTAGTTGATTTCATCATAGTCATAATTATGTTAGGCCTGCCTCTGATGATGTCATACATATAATGTGGCTATTGTATTGTGAGGGTTAACAAATCCTTGCAGGTTAGATATCAGAGATTTGAAAATAAATATATGGTATCCCATTTATAACAGCAGAAGCAGTAAAATGTCACCCAATTAGTAAGACATTAGTAAGGATACTTTCACTTTGAAAGTTCCTTACTAGTATGTTTATGGGAACTATGAAGCATCTTATATTTACAAATATGGTATGAGTTGTAGATGGTAAATGAAAACATGTTGGGTTAGATATATAAAGAGATACTTCACCCCAAACATTATTGTTCAGATTTGATGGATGCTGGAGATTTTATACAATTTAATAATTTCTTACTTCTCTCAGTGGCGCTGGCAGTTTTTGGTTCACAAGCCAACAAACTGCTGAGACCATTATTAAGAGGTGTCACCCTCCCAATTGGAACACAGGCAGAAATGACAGCAAGAAGATCTTTCCAAATGAGGCTTAAGAGTCTACTCAGTGACTCACAAATCTCTACCACAAACAATACCTTCCACAGGACCATACTTTTAGGCATGGTAATCCCAACTATTTGTTTCAAAAAGAGAAAGTTTAATTGAGAAAAAGTAGGGTTTTATCTGAATGGGGCTACTTCTCGATAAATCTGGATTTCAGGCAGAATGGGAGTAAGACTAAGTTGTTCTGGTTTGAAATCTGTTGGGAATTACATTAATAATGCATTTTACAGTAGATAGAATAACTATTTTTTAACATAATAATTTGTAATACAACTATATTTTGCCTTTGCAGAATGTCTGGACAAGTAGTCAGCAATGTGAGCGTCTGTAAGTATAGAATTATTCTGTGACTACAGCATTTCTTTTAATATTGTTTAATGGAAGAGAAAATAAAACTCTTATTTTTATTTCCAGCTGTAGTTGGTGGAGGTTCTTCTGCCGGAGGAAGTGGATTTGGAAGTGGATATGGTGTTGGAGGAGGAAGTGGATATGGTGTTGGAGGAGGAAGCGGATATGGTGTTGGAGGAGGTGTTGGAGGAGGAAGCGGATATGGTGTTGGAGGAGGAAGCGGATATGGTGGAGGAGGAAGCGGATATGGTGTTGGAGGAGGAAATTGCTATGTTGTTGGAGGAGGAAGCAGCCATGGCGGTGGAGGCCAAGGATCTGGCAATTATAACCAATCATCTACAAGATCCTCGGTAGCTGTGTCAAAAACAGTAACATCCTCAGTCAAGCAATCCTATTAAGATGCACCACTGTCATAGCACTAATTCCCACCCTTCCAAGCCAAACCTCACTATACCTTTGTCAGTGTGCTCAAATGGAAGAAGCTTAGCTAGTTATCTTCAGTTGTATCAATCTGGTCCTTTCGTTTTTTGTTCTTAGGTATATGCCTGACTATAATTTAAACCATCTATGCTTCCCTATTACAACAACCCATAAACTGGTTTTATGCAATAAGATTTTGATTGGCTAATTACACAAACTTTGCCAACAAACCTATTAGATGGAGTGTTCCTAAACAGCCCATTTAGTTAAATCCAGTAGGATGGCTCTCATATTGCACAGGTGCTGGTAAAATCTGGTTAAATCAGAATATTACTGTGTATGATCAGTTTAAAAATTCCCATTTATTAGGGTCATCGACTAAAAAGGGATTAAGAACATAGTCTCAAATATGAAAAGAAAACTGCACTACAGCATATATAAAGCAGAATATGAAACCAAACAGCATGTGCAAGGGTATCATGTATGAATGTAACTGCACTGTATTTGCACTGTAGTCAGTCCTAGGCATCCCTGCTTCTGTGTTTTTTGGGAAGTAATGGATGACAACGATTCCAGGTGTTTGTTGTATATAGAATCCTTTATAATGCTTTACTGGATTACCCACTCCCAGGCTTGCATTTCTTGTCTTTTCTTTATATCTTCAATAAACTGCATGTAGATCTCAAATCTGTTGTTGTATTCTAATTGCTTTTTTTTTTTTTGCTTTTAAAGATTTCCAACCTTATTTTTGCAATTTTATAATACAGTAAATGGTGGTGAACTACAGTGTCGTGTGATAAACCTAAGAGCAAGAATCTTTCTTTAATCATAAGCTGAAATGTAATCTCTGTTTTCCCTGCATTGAAGCGTATCTAATCCCATGAAGAAAAATTGAATATATTGCAGCTTACCAGTTCTTATATATGGTGGCTACATTAGTTTTCAGTTTTTAGGCTTTTTTTCTTTATTTTCACCTGGTGACCCTGCCAGTATCACACTTCCTGTTGTAGGGTGACAACACATTCATCGTACTATATCTATGGACTATGGTGAAGCAGCATTGTCTCTCCCGGACAGGACTACAATTCTCCATAACAATGTGGAGTGGTTCTGTGGTCCAACAAATGGAAAAAAGACACAGCGCTCTCATGGGAGTGTGGGGTATGTGTGGGAATGGTCGATAGTGATTGCTGCTCTACAAACAGGGGGAGAAACCTGTGAACATAGAAATGAGGCAAATGAGAGCGCTGTGGCAAATGAGGTTCTGTGGTCCTTAGATGTGCCTGAGAACACTAACTGAAAAAAGGGCAGCAAAGGCAGCGTGCACAGCAAGTAATCAGCTGGCAAGATTTTTTATATGATCAACATATATTTTTCTGCACTTAGTATATAGCAAAACACTTTTAAGTGGCATGCTCACCAGAACAAAAAGGACCAAATGAGAAACATTAAGTGTTTTGGATTAAATACATAATAATGGACTTTGCCTACCTTCAGTGCTCTTTGCTCTACCTTATTAGACCCATGAGGGTATGAAGGTATAATAGTTGTTCACTTTTCACTAAAAAATAAACATAAGGTTTCCAGTGCATGGAGATATGCAAATGATTCCATTATGCTTCTGTGGCCAACTATGGATACATTACTACTGGTTTATGGAAATTACACAGCCTAAAGCAAGGATTACATAATCTAGTTTGCCAGAAACATAAGGTCCTATATCAAAATTTTCAGGGGGCCTCCCAACAGGGTCAATTATCTACCTCTAGCTGCACTATACCTAATAATAGCACCCTGCTTCAGTATAGACCACTAGTGTCTAATAACTTTGGGAGTAGCAAGCTTCAAAGCGTTGATTTGTTAGAGCATCTTAGGCCGTCCTACCTACGCAGTTTCAGCAGTGCAATCTTTTCTTTTGTCCCAGCCAAGGACCTTGAAAAGAACACAGATTAAAAACATGTATATTGCAATTATTTTTAATTCTGAGGCTTCAATACTTTTTTACCCCTTACATTTCCCCCCTGTTGAACCTCAGCAATTAAATTCTGTTTCTTACTTACATCAACCCCCTAGGTTAAGTATGTTACTTATTTGACTAATTGGTGTCATGGTCTGGTTTCAAACAGGGGCGTCATCATAGGGTGAGTCAATGTCATCAGCGTTTAAAGCTGTGTATGCCATTCTTTCAGTTGCTTTGTCAACTACCTTCGAGACAAGTCCCTTCATACACGGTACCAGACAACAACCTAAGCATAATAATACTGATAGGATCCCTGCAATGGCTATAAGGAAGGTAGTAATCTGTGATGCCCAGCGCCCGAACAAACCCTCCATCCAGGATGTCCACGGATTTTCGATCCTACTGTTTTCTGCCAGCTCTAACGAGAGCATCTCCAAGCCCTTCAATGCTCGGGAGACGCTCCCATCTGGGGCAGTGTTATTGGGGATGTATGTACAACACGAGGTTCCACACATGGCGCATACTCCACCTTTCTTGGCGAGCAACATATCCAAAGCCATTCTATTCTGCCATGCTACCAGTGACGTGGCATCAAGTTGTTCGGCAAGGCCCTTGACTGCATCTCTAGTGTAGTTGACAAAGCGTTGTTGATTATAATATATGTAATTAATCCAGTCTACATTTTTACTAATCGTTACCATGGGAAACAACGATTCAAAACCGGCTGAAATTTGGTTTCTAGCTTTAAACTCGTCTGGAACTCCCCGGGGTACTCCAATAGCATCAATGTATACTCTGTTATCAAAACTTCCCCTTTGGATGGATCTTTTGGTTCTGTGTGTCGTGGTATTTGTTATTTCTAACATGTGGGCAATAAGCTTTTCTCCTCCCCCTGGCAGAATCAAAAAGGGTTGTAGTAGTCTTACCAATGCGCATGTTCCTGCCCATGATTTCGTTAGATTTGGTCTTAACTTACCGTCTCCACATATCCACCAGGTATCTGCCAGAGACATAAAGTGATTTTTAAACATATCCGGGGTAAATTCCTTGCCTGTTGCTACTTGGTGTGTTTTAGTGCAATATTTAAATTCTTGGCCTGGTTTTGCTGAGTTATTAAAACATGTATAATTTCCCTTGTACACTGTAACTCCAGTTGGTTTGGATTTCATGGGCGTTTTTGGAAATAACATTTTTTCTCGTTCACATCCTCCTTCCATGGTACTGCCTTGCATTAACCACAATACACATGTTAGACTAACCTCTTGCGGTATGGGCACCGTGGCCAATGCAGGTCTTGCACCTGCACACACTATACAATCTGATTTGTTAGCTTGTCCAGTAGTGTAATTTACCCATTGCAACCACTCGTTTTTGTCAGAATGCCCAGTTTCCACAGCCCATAGTTCCTCCTCTGTCCATGCTTCCCCTTGCACCGTGAGCCCATTTTCAGAGATATTCTTACCTTGTTCCAATCTTTCTGTTACTTCCAGTTTTAGCATGGCGAGGGGGCCAGTCCCTGCCACAGTTATTCCTATACTATATACCACTATCCGATGCCTTGGGGTTCAAAACTGACAATGTTAGTTAATTTCCTGTCTTAGATAACTTAATTTGGTTATAAAGATCTGTGTCTTCTGGTTTTAATCTGGTAGATCTAGTTTCATATCCCCCTGGGTCCGTAGTTTTCCATGCATTTTCCCAATAGCCACAAGCCGCATCCTTCCCACACAAATAGTAGTTGTAACTACTCCATGTTCCCGATGGTGTTCCAGGTTTGAACACCTCATGTACTTTCAAGGGAAAATTCAAGGTTATGTTATTGCCTGTGTTTCCTTTTAATGTTATAGGTCGAGCCTGCCATTGTGTTTCACCTGTAGGATCTCTCCTGTGTGCCCCTATTCTTCTCTTATCCACTGGGACTTTCGTGATACTTTCAGCTTTGACATTCTTTTCGGCTATCAGATCTGATATTGCTTTTCCAAGAAAGACCAGACCAATCAGTACTAAAAACACAATCACCATCCGCCTCTTGAAAAACCCTGGTGTTAAAATAAACATCCTTTCCCTTCCTACTGGTCAATCCCTTTAATACAATTCCACCTCCACAGCTGCTACCTTTGTCCACTGAAGACAGAGGGTGGTCCCTTAGATCAGACTGTGGAATCCTTAGTGATCTAGGGATGTTCCCTCATTCACAGCAGGTGAATTTGTAGTGTCTATCCCTTTCGCTATCTTACAGTGGGTTAGATGAACCCACGTCTTTCTCTCTGCAACCTTTACTGCAGTTGGTGTTGTGAGTAGTACCTGGTATGGTCCTTCCCAG